TATAAAGTAAATAAATTTTATTATATTGTACTTTAGAAAAGAGGGTTTTTTCCATATTTTCTCAAGAATGCCTTTAGAAGTATAGTTTAAGAAGTGTATATAAATTTTTAAGATTTATTTTTAGAGGCTGAAAACTATAATCTCACCTTCTTTATGGGAGTATATAAACTTTACAGAATAGAAATTGACTATAAAATTATTAGCATTTATGATATTAAGCTAGGATAATGGATTTCCTATCTAGGAGCAGTACTTTGTGGCCTGGTCAGACAGTATTGGGAGACTGTCACATTGTTTTGAGAATATCCTGATAGACATCTCAGGATGTACTTCAGGCAAATACAGTGGGCAGTCTTCTTGCAAAATTCCTGGATTCCACAGTGACAGCTGAATTGAACAGAAATCATTGCTATAAGTGGCTCATGGAAAAATAATGTGTGTAGTGGCAATTTTATTGTGTCAGGTTGAGACCAATGAAACTCACCTGGTTTAATACACAAATTTCTATTTCAATATTCAATAATATTGTGAAAGAACCATCATAATTCAGTTTAGGTAAGGACTACCTATTTCCTATCTTGTTAGAGTCTAGTGCTTCTCATAATGGCTTGAGTTTTTTTCTGGAAGAAACAAAGAAATGTGTGAAAGTTATATCTCCTTGTATTAATTAGGCATCATATGGTTTCCCTAAGGTTATGGTACAAGTGTCTCAATCAAATACAAGTTTAGAGAAATATACTGCTATACATATTTAGTTTGATTTGGGACTTGATGGCTTCTGTTACCCTGTTCTTACTATTGGAATTTTAGTAGACATGCTAGCACTCCTGAAATAGTTCTCTATTGCTTCATAGTTTTTTGCTTGCCCCTGCATGCCTCTCCAGTCATTAATACAGTACTAAACTCAATATATAGGTACTGAATCCACTTATGCTAATTGATTTATTAATACCACAATACTCACTGACTATTTGTTCCTATGAAAATTAATTAATTTAATTAAATTAATTAAATTAATTAATTTAATTCAAATTTTCCATATAAATATTCATGAACTTAATCAATATATCTCAAGGGGGGGGTTACAAAGGGGAGTGTGAGCAAACGTGTGGGGGCATAATTCTTCCTTTTGAAGAATTGTTCCATATAGTGCAGGATGTTGAGTATGCCTTGTTCCTGACCATTAAATACCTGCATTGCTCTCCATTTATTATGATTAACCAAAGAAGGATATCCCTGCAAATCTCATATTACACAGAGGAAAGTGGGGGCTGCCTTTGTCAAGACCCATTGCATCAGTGACTCAGCATAAACTTGCACTTGACTTCCAAATATAGGATTATTTATGTGTTCTGAATCTTATTTTAGTGGAAAAAAGTAATGCAAATATGAATTTATTCATACTCTAATTTCCACTACTTTTAAGATCAGTGCAGAAATAAGGCATTCATGAATAAGTACAACATAAAACATGTAGAAGAAGTGGAAAGAGTGAGAAATGCACAGAAGAAAGTGAGATTGATGTTTGAAGGAGCGGTAGGAAGTTCACATATTAAAGATGGGGAAAATTTGAGAAGTATGGAAAGAATTAACAAAGAAATAGACATAGGAGAGTCCAGAACATTTTTTGGGGAAAAAATATATATATGTGTGTGTGTGTGTGTGTGTGTGTGTGTGTGTGTGTGTGTGTGTATTAGCAGAAAGTTTCTGAATGAGAGTAATTATAATTGGAGCCAGTTTATGAAAAAACCTTAAGATCTAATAAAAGTTTAAGGTTTTGCTTTGTAGAAACTAGAGCGTAATGGAAGGCAGTTTAGCAACTGAATTAAATGAATCAGAACACTGAATTAATTCTTAAGAAATATTGTGATAAGATAGATATGTTGATAATGATAATACATTTAACTGGTAGAATAATTAACATAAAGATAAGTAGTTTTCTGCATATACAGCTGTAAAGCCTGCCAATAACCAGTTATATTTGTGTGCTAAAAGCAGTTACATAAAAAGTAATTCTATGGTTGAATCCAAGCTTAAAAAGTGTATGCTATGACCAATTAATTATATCTGACACAAGAAAAAGGTGGAAGATTAGAAGGAACGATGTCATGTATCTGCCATTCTTACTACAGAGCAAATGTTTAAACTGAACTAGAAACTAAAAGACAGCTAACAGAAACTGAACAGCATATGAGATAAATGCTAAAGTCGCTAGACAAGGTTATACAAAATTCATTCATGTTAAGTATGAAAAGATATATTGGTACTACAGACTTTTCAATAATATCTGTAAACACAGGTTATGATTCATTGCCAAGTTGTGTCTTCTAAAAAAAAGAGCATGTTGTACATAGGAAGTATGAATTTTCAGGGATTTCAGAGTCTCATAAAAGAAAGATAAGACTTTATAAAGACAACTGACTTCTTTGTTGATTTATTTAACTTCCTGGTAATAGCAAGATGAGGTTCAAATTAATTTACTATATTTAATGATTTAATTCTATCATTGATTAGAGATCCATTTTATTTACATTCCATCAATTTCAGAGTTTATTGAATGAATTTCTAATATAACTGGATTCTGAATTGGGTACAGTGGTGCTTGCCTGTAATCCCAGTAGCTCAGGAGGCTGAGAAAGGAGAAGTATTAGTTCAAAGCTAGCCTCACCAAAAGCAAGACACTAAGCAAATCAGTGAGATCCTGTCTCTAAATAAAGAACAAATTAGGACTGAGGATGTGACTCAATGGCCAAGTGCCTCTGAGTTGAACGTGGGTACCAAAAAACCAACCAAACAAACAAACAAAAAATGGATTCTGAAGTGTTGTTTATATACTCTAAAAACTGAAATACCCTATTCTATATCTTAAGGAAAGAAAAAAATAAAAGAAATTGAAATTTGTGTAATCATGTCTAATCCCTGAAGTTTATGCCAATTTGGTTAAGGTTTTTTTTTTGGGGGGGGCGGTATATGGGTTGAAATTTTTTGTTTGTTCTAGTTTTTGTAAATGCTGACACATACAGAAAATATCTTTATTCTGGCACTCTTGTCACATTGCATTTTAAATATATTAGGCATATCTTAACTAATTAGTAAATACAAACAAAATAACTTTTTTGGGAGTCAGGAATGGCTCTGTGATCTCAGGGGTCAGCTCACACACTGGAGGGCAAGAGGAGCAAGGGAGGCAAGAGGTAAGAGAGCAAGTACACCTGAAACCTCCCTATTTATTTGGAAGAAGACATTCAATAGAATATTCTACCCAAATAAGGCAAGGGGTAGGGTTTCGAAGGGTGGAGTCTTGCTTGGTGATGTCTTGTGATCAGGAGATTGATTGACATCTTGGCAAGTCACACCCATCTCAGGTGCTGTGTGGGATCACAGGCAGAGTGAGAGGAAAGGCACTTTTGCCTTGCACAGCCCAATCAGCTCACAATGCCAGACCAGTCCCCTCAAAAGCTCAAATGCACATAGCTCTCACACACAGCCCATGGATGGCTCACAACAAATACATTCATGCACATGATACTTAAAATAAGACTGTTGCTCATACTTGTAAGTGGATATTTTGATAGCAAGTTCTCAGGGAAATGTGTCTTGGGATAGCAATGGAAATGCCACATAGAGATGGGTGTGTATACCATATAAATCATTTTGAAAATCACAGAAATTAAGATTGATAGTTCATAATATTCATTCATAGTAGTAATTTGACCATTGCCACTCTTTCTTTGAGAAAGTATATCAAAATACAGATAGTTTTTAAATCTTGCCATATACTAAGAATGATATTTTTGTTTTAAATTGATTCTCTCACTTTGAAGTGGTATATAACCATGGAATTTTAATCAGTTACAGTTATGAAATAAATACATTTATTTATTTCCAATAGAATGATTTCTGTTTTTATAGGTTTATGGCACTTACACTTGAATCTTTGGTTAGTTATTATATTTGAAATTTATTCACTTAACGAGGGAGTTTTGCTTTCCTTTACTCTCTTCTTTATTTTGTTTATTTTTATGTGGTGCTGAGGATCAGACCCAGTGCCTCACACATGCTAGGTAGGCAAGCACTCTACCACTGAGCCACAACCCAACCCCTCCTTTACTCTTTTCTTAAATATTTTTTACTGTCTCTCAATGACCTTTTAAAAATATTTTTAGTTACACATAACATTCATGCATGCATAATATGAAATTAAAAATAGTAAGAAAATACAAGTAGCAATTTTGGGGTTTAAAATTCCTCAATATTCACATACCAAGATTCCACATTTTGTTTTATGAACTGCAGAAAATACTTGCATTATAAAGTAATATACTGTCAATAAGACTATAAAAATAAATCAAAAATTATGATGTGTACACATTTAATAATTTGGTCTCTGTGAGTGAATTTTGAACTATAGATAGGGAAAATGTAAATTATCTTGACATTATAGGTTACTTTTCCTTTTCTTTAATAAGGTATTTCATTAAAACTTCCTAGAAAAGCATATAATCCAGATAAAGCATGCATTCACTAATTAATAGCCTGCAACTGGATTTTAATTTTTCTGTAGTTGTAGATGGACAGAATGCCTTTATTTTATCTGTTTATTTTTATGTGGTGCTGAGGATCAAACCCAGTGCCTCACACATGCTAGGCAAGCACTCTGCCACTGAGCTACAACCCCAACCCTGCAACTGGATTTTGAACAGTGTCAATATATATTGTTTTGACCCATATTTATGTATGTATCAATTTGAGCTATTAAAGAAACAATTAACAAGTCATTCTGATTAAATTATTTCTGGCTACAAGAATGAAAACTTTATTAATCAGATATCTAGTCATTTATTAAGGGAAGTATGAAGAAATTAAGCACAATGTTAAATAAAATCCATCATAAATATCCAAGGAGACATTTACCATAACCAAAATTTGATTAAAAAGTAGAATTGTGTAGTTATTTTTACAAAGAATTTTTTGACATCTCTATATCTTTTCTTTCTCAGGGTTAGATTATAATTTCCTACTTTATGGAGAAATCTTTGAAAGAGCAGAAATCAATGGGGAGAGGTTACTCAACATCACTCAGCAAAGACTTACTGAACTTGGCATAACTCGGACTGATCACCAGGATATACTATTAAAAGCAGTTGCTAATATTTGTAGAAAGGTAAGTAGAGAGATGCCTTTGCATATTGTATGTTTTTCTGGTTAACAAAAAATGAGTTCAAGTTAAAAAGTTGTGCTTCTTTCTGCTACACAGTCTGAATTGTAGTTTTCTACTTTTTCAGTTCAAAGGTTAATGTAACTGTATGGTCTCTGACTGTTTTTACGTCTTCCAGTGAGCCCCTCCCATTCCTGAATTTGAATCTTGGCTCTGTCTCAAGTCATTGCTGCTTCATTTTGTGACACGGGGATGATGTACCTCATCATTTTGGAGGAAAATCAAGAATATTCGGCCTAGTCATTTTTCTGAGAAATAAATGTCAGTGTATCCTAGAGAATTAGTTCATAAATTCCTAAAAAAAATCAAGAAATAGGACAGCTATATCTACTATTGATGCTCAAAAAGAAACAAAGAATGAAAAGGGGGTTATCAAGGTATGACACAATATTGAAGACATTTGGATCTTAACCTAGAAATAGAGTTGTCATTTTATATTAAAAACTAATAATAATACTATATATGGTCACACCTAGAACTATTTAACAAAAGTGAAAAACTTGAGGTTTTTCATGATTTAAGAACTGCAATCATATTAAATTAATCTACCAATTCAACTAATTTTGAGGATATTTAATGATATCAGTAATCAAATAATACCATACACCTAGTTATGTCAAAGTTTGATTCCCCACATTTACATTTGACATGGTTGAAAACATTTTATTTCTAATAGATATTAAAATTCTAATATGTCTTATCCTTTCTGGATGCACTTTATCCTTCCTCTCTCTCTGTAAGAATGCCATACTCTTTAAAAAATAAAGACTATATATATCTTTATCATTTTCCTTCATATTCTATTTACAACAGTGTGAAAATATATATATTTTAATTGAACCTTGTATTTCATGCAGTTGATAATTCAACTGATATTATTAGCTAGCCAACATCATGAGAATCCTTGCACAGTTCCTGAATGAAATAACTATATGTATAGAGGGTTCAGTTATAACAGGTTACCTAGACTAAGCAGTGTTTTATTTCTTCATGATAAATTTATAACAAAAACTATGCCTCACATATTTGTTTCCTATATAGTAAAATGTTCTCTAGGTAGTAAAATGCCATTTTAAAATATTTGATGGGGGAACATTAATAGTATCAGCTTCTCTCAAGTAAGCAAACATTCTCTAAAATATATTGGTATTGAAATTCAGTAGTTCCTTAGATCATCTAATATACTGATATTTGTGACAATGGTGTCATGTTACCTTTCCCCAGTAGTGTGTTTGTGTTTTAAAGGAGTTCTTTTTGATGAAAGGGAAAAAGTAGTTGTAAAGCAAAAATTGGTTCTTCTGTCAAGTATATTGAAATATACAGGAGCCTAATAATTTTAAAGATCTCTACTTTCTAAATGTTTCATGACTGTGTTTATCTTCTCTAGCATTTGTCCCACTGAAACATTTTGAAAGATCAGCCTATAAAGATATACATGTCCCCAGAGGTCAAATAGAGATGAGTTTTTATATATCTTCTTGAGCAATAACTGATAGTAGGACTATTTCTGATTCAAATTCTGAAAGTGAGCCAAATACTATATCCTACATTAACTAAATATGTGGGGCTTCCAGGATGTAACAGTGATACCCCATTAGAAGAAAAATGCTTAAGAGAATATAAACTGGAAAAGAAATAGAAAAAATGGTCAGGGTGCAATCATTTTTATTAGGGAATTATTTTGTGCTTCCAAGAAGGGTGCAATTTGCCAAATGAGATGGCATCTATCAGCAATTATAGAATATAACTATATTTCTTAGCATATATTTAGTAGACAGTAGTGTATCAGAATTTTACTGTCAAATAGAAAACAGATACATGGAACACATATGTACAGATATTAAATATCTCAAAAAAGATAAAATGAAGAACTACAAGCATGGTTGAGAAGAAATTATGGTACAAACAAATCCATTTTCCAGAATTCTCTGCAGCACAATTTTATAAAGCTCAAATATGGTTTTTGTGTTATTAGAGGGTTAGAGATTGGATTGAAAAATATAATTTTGAGATCTATTAATATACCAGGTGATAGTGAAAGCCATGAGAGTGTACATATGCTTCCTCATGAGGAGAATGCATTGATGGAGAAGTGAAGAATGATTAAGTTCAAGAATTTGAAGTAATATTCTTAGTAATGCCACTGAATTTTTTTTATAAAGGAATTGCTTTAAAAATAACATCCCAGGGCTGAGGTTGTGGCTCAGCAGTAGAGTGCTTGCCTAGCACTTTGGAGGCCTTGGGTTCAATCCTCAGCACCACATAAAAATAAACAAAATAAAACTATTGTGTCCAACTAATAAATAAATATTAAAAAAATTACACCCCATATAACTATCTAGTTTTCATATCAACTTTGAGATATAAGAATGGAACATTAGGAGTGGGTGTTATCATGTCCATTCTATAGATGAAGAAACTAAGAGTCATAAAACTTAATTGTCATGCAATAAACCATGGAGCTGGGTCTAGAAATCTGGTCTTTTAGTTAGTATTCTTATGGCCCAATTATAGCAGGAAGCAGAGAAAAGTTTAGGAGGGGTGAAGCACAGAATGGATGAGAAGGGTCAAAGGCTATCAGAGGAGCCAGGAAATCAGTAGAGGTTAAGAAAGATATGTATCTGACAAGGAAGGCATTGACACCAGGGTCAAATTTAACAGAGAGGAAAAAATTTGTATCATACATATATGGACAGTAAACTTTAAGTCAATATATTTTCGTACATTAAAAAAGGAAGTACATGTAACAGAGACAGATGGGTTAATCACCATATCAAACATACATGTATTACTTGTGCTAAGGCCTTCTTAAATATATAATTTGATTTATGGACAATCACAATTATTGTGCTTGCATAGTTTTAGTCAGCTAAATAAGCATGTTTGCATATTTAAAATCAGGTAGGAACTCAAAATTTAAAATCAGTTAGGAATTGTTAAATTTTAATTCTCACCCATGTTCCTCTTGCCCTGGTTAAGTAGGTAGTATCATGTATTATTAAATACCTCAGTAGGACCTTCAGATCCCTTGCAGAAGGTATTTATTTCTGGAAAGATTACGAAGCACTTACTGACAAGATACTGATATATATATATATATATATATATATATATATATATCAGTTATATATAGTCACTTTTGTTTTTACTATATGACTCTATGTAATCCGGAAATATTCAAAGAATTTGTCATCAAAACATGAAGTATAAAATATTTTTATTGAACTTCCATTTTTCAGTACTGAATTTTCTCTTGTCTTTGAACTTATTATAAGGAAGAATACCAGACAAGAACAGTATCAAAGGATATCAGATTACTGATGGTATTTTAGCTAGTATTCTTATGGCCCAATGAATGTAGACATGTTTATATGCATTTGGCAGTGTGGACACAGCAAATTTATTATAATATGCCTTAAAGTATGTTCATTGATGTATTAGATCAGTGTATAAATAAAAATTGTAATTCATATAATTGAACTAAATTTAAATTCTCTGAAGACAAAAACTGACAAGGGTCGAGAAGCTAATACCATTACACGTAGGAATGTAGCTCTGTGACAATAAGAACCTATCTCCCTCAGGGGAATAGGGAACTTTTTTTTTCTTGAAAGAAAGAAAAGGAATTAATTGACATTGACTCTGTGATATTTCCTCTAAGTATCACAGATGAATCATAATTACTATCAGTGTCATTTATATTAATCTACAAAGATTCACAATTAATCATATATTTTTATAAAAGTAATAGTAGAAAAATAATCAAAGAATTATTTTCAAAAATTGAAAAATAAAAGGAATGATGAAAAATTTATTTCAAAAATTCCATATATTAATACAGACATGAATTTTTCTATTATATTTGAACTTAGTTTGTTTCTATGTTCTTTTCTGAATTTGTACTCAAACCTAGCTCATTCTTAAATCTGAAGTAGAGTCCATCACTGTATAATATAAAATCTTAGATATGACATATTTTATAAAAAGTGCAAAAATGCCATAAAGTACGGGATAATAATTTTTGTTGTGGATTACCTTATTTTCTCTGAGAAATTAAGACAAAGATAAAATACTTTGTTGCTTTCATTATGCCACTATTGTTTCATGTAATATTTTCTATATTTTGAAGTTTGCAATGGAAAATTAGGTATTTTAGAAGTTTGTTTTCTTTCATTATTCTTCTTGAGTAGAAAAATGAATACCTATCTTTACTTCCATGGTGGAAAAATTTCATAAAGCACACTAAAAAATTCCTGTGCAGTCAGGCAGCCACAGTATTTTCAGATACTGAGGCTATTGTTCCCTCCCTTGACCTTATGAAATGTAGAGATTACCATACAGCTTTTTTAAAAATATATCCAGTTGCCTCCTAGTCCCATGTTGCTATAACAAATGGTTATAAATTGTAACTATGTTAGAAGAATGGAATGTGATTTTAAATGATGACAAAGCAGATGGTTTACTCTTCAACAGTTGGAAGGAATGAATAGTAACTGACTTCTTGGTTTCAAGATTCAACATTTTTTAAATTAATTTACCTGTACTGAACGGCTTTTTGAAGGTTATCCAAGAACAAAATTTAAAAGTCTTTATTTGACAACTCAGGCTTGTAAACCTTTCTGGCATGCACAGATTTTTCATTAACATGTCCCTCACTCCTTTTTCTTTCCCAGTACAGTGGAGTTAGATTTCAATAGCTCCCAACAGATTTGATTAAAAAAAACAAAAACAAACAAAAAAAACCTTCTCAGTTAAATTGTTACTGAGTACCCCAGAGCAATATGTCAATGAATGACAAAATTTGAGTAACCAGCATTATAATGAATGAAATAGATCTTTTAGTGGGAAACAGAAGTAATTAGATATGAAAATAAATGTGAGATAGCATAATAATAAAAGAGATGGTTTTATAATTTGAGATTGCTTGCTTATGAATGTAAACTCTATACAGTCTGCATTCTGTGATACCACAGTTGTGATTTATGTAATGTTTCAAAATCTCACCTGTATTGTTTTTCTATTTTCTTTTCATTATTTGTGTTATCAGTACAGTAAAATTGATCCACATTCATTGCTTGAATACTTAAGCTTTCGCACCCAGAGAAACTTATTTTTCATATCTGTTAATTCTGAAAATTCTAATTATACCATAACATCAGTACTTATTTTCAATTAAAATTCATTTTCACATCTTGATGTTCTTTAGCACTCTAAGAGAGAAAACCCTTAAATAATTATAAAGCCCTGTAATCCAAATAACCCTTTATTTTTGTTTTTTCTTTTATAATCTCATTTTACTAGACCTACTAATAGAAATTAAAGTTAAATATAAAGACTAAAGATGTTTAATAGCATAAAATATTGCCTGTCCAACTGTTTGACTAGATATCTGATTCCATAATAGCAGATTGTATGGTTAGCGAAAATTTAGGGAAATTGTGCTACTATCTTACTGCATAATTTATCACTTATACAGCCTATAAAACAGGAAGTTCCTCAAGTTCATACATAGTTATTTAAATACAAGAATTGTATCTGGTTAATTTTATAGACTCTGAGGTAAGGTACAGTTGTGATGGGGGACTTGAACTATTTGGACAGCTGCTGGAAATGTCATTCTATTAATAGCAAGACATGTGTCTGACTATGCCTACCATTCCCTTCCTTCACTACTACTTGCTAACTCTAAGATGACTTGGTTACTCTCTCCCAAAGCTTCTGTCACTTCTAAATAATTATTTCTTAGTTAGAATTTGGATCATAAAAAATGTTCTTATCATGGTTTTCTTTTCTGAGAGATGAAATTGCCAAAGGCTCAAGTCTCCAGACTCAGGTGAATTTTCTGTCTGTGTATGGGGGTGGGAACTAAAAACATATGCATATTATTTCAGAAGCAGGATCAGTAATTTTGAAAGGCAGAGATTTGAGAAACTTGATTAAGATTTTATTTTTTCTTTAATTTAGAGTAGTTTTAAAGTTTTCTAGAATGTAAATATTTTATGAGATTACAGAAATGTTATTTGGATTTGAATCCAGCCACATGGATTTGTAGATGGTTAAATAATATTACTTAAATATTTATTAATGCATCTAAGCATTATTTGCACAGAAAAATAACTGGAATACACTGTGCAGAACTTACTTGCATAGTTCATCTTCTCTTTGTTTTCTAAACGTTTTATTATTAAAATCTTATTTCTTATTCCGTGGCTATATTTTGTTAATAAGTCATTTTGTTTCTCTCCCCTCCACCCCATTTAGATCCAAGTTGAAGAACAAGCTATGCAAGAAGAAGACCAGGTAAGAAAGCAATAGTAGCAACAATAGCAAAATCTATTGAGAAGAATTAAAGATAAACATAATACTTATAAAACTAAGGACCTAAGTATGACAATATGATGTACTCAGCTTTTTAATTTCATGTTTCACAGTGTAGTTAATAAGTTGTTTCAGGGTTGCTACTATTAACAGCTGCTTATAATATGGGAAAAAAGTAAGTCAAGTGAGATCTTTTCAGTATACCAAAAATCCAGGGAGCATCTGAATGACTATTGGTTCATATTGCATGAGGACTAGTTAATACTCTTTCTATAAAAATTCTATCACCTTTTTGCCCTAAGTTTTCTGATATCATTGTAGTTGGATACATTGTCACTTTGCTTATCTTCTGTACAAGCTGTGTGAGAGAGCGCCTGTGCCTCTGTGTTATGATATATAAGGATGTTCCTTCTTTCCTCAACAAAAACATACAATTCTGTGGCTTTGCTAGTGTAAAAAGGTTTTGAAGTAATAGAAATTGTTCTGGTGTTCTTCCATTTGTTTTGTATGAAGTATGTCTATTTACCATAGAATTATAAATAACTTACCATTACACTAAAGATTTGTTTTGTAAATAAAGATAGACAGGAACTAAAAGAGTGGATATATTTCATCAAAGGATTGTTGATTTATCAATTTTCAGTCACAGTACTTAACAGAAAAGAATTATTAAATATGGCTAATGAAGGAATGTGTGAAAAGGAGGCTTACAGATTCATTTGTAAATTTCTTTGTAGGCAATAAACCTAGTATAGATTATTTAGATCTATGAATTCACAATTTAAGAGTTTTAACATATGTCAATATCATACTTGGTGGGATTAAATTAGATATCTAAATGCACAATTGTAAAATATAAAGCATCATTATTGACATTTAATAAGATTAATATCTTCACCATAGGCTAGATTATGAAGAGTTTGCTTATTTGACTACTTTTGAGGATTAATGTAAAGTTTCTCCTGTGGTCTGATATTGTTGGATATTTATATCTTTACAGTTTTCAATCACTTTCAGCATAATATTACTATGAAATTTTAATATCTATAGAGGTTTTCAATGGGAAACACTTATATTACAATTGTAAACCAACTGAAATTTTATCTAAATGTTACTTTGAACTAATTATTGAAGTTATCAAATGCTTTATACACAGATACTTCTGATTGTTGTAGACTGTTAATTTGATTTTAATTCAAAGATGTTCTTGGAAATACATTCAACTACCTGGGTATATGGGAACCTCAAAAAATCATGTTTCTCTAAATTATGCTGCAGAGTGTATGGTCTAAAGACAGCCTGCTTGGATTTATATTCCAGATAACACTTACTAGCTGTATGGTCTTGTGTAAAAGTATGGTTCAGATGTTAAAAAACCTTTATTTAAAAATGAAAATAATGCTAAAAATTATTGTAAATATTACCTGAGATAATTAATATTAGGGATTTTTGCGTATGGTGTTGAATGAGTTTTGACTACTAATGCAGTTTCTATTCCGCCTCCTTTTTCTTCCTTCCATAATTTTTACCACCTTTTTTTTTACTTCCACCTCCCCAACCCTATCATCATTATCTTTATCATAATCATTATCACATTAGGTCCCTTATATCATGGTCTCCTGGCTCTATGCTCCAATTGGTACTACATAGTTCAGGCAGAGTAATCTTTCTTTGGCATTATCCTCATCATAATATCCTCTTGTAGGGCTGGGGATGTAGCTCAGTGGCACAGTACTTTCCGCACATGTTTGAGGCAATGGGTTCTATCCTTAGCACCACATAAAAATAAGCAAATAAAATGAAGGCATTCTATTCATATACAGCTACAGATTTTTTTTAAAAAAAATCCTCTTGTACAATTACCTAACAGATCAAAATCTGATTTCTAAATCTACCATTAAAATCCCCTCATGAGTATAATGTCTATCTGCAATGCTAGCTGTCCAATTTATTTTTTGTCATTCTTAACTTTCCTACTTCATTTTAGGCAATCAAATACTCTTGCTATTGCTGTTCCAAAACAACAGGTGGTAAGAATGAAAAGAAAACGAATCTGGCTATCTTGAAAAATTATTGTGGCAATACTAAAAGCAAGAATATTAACAGTTTATATTTGTTTAGAACATTGTAATCTGTAAAACACTTAAGTAATAATATGTAAAATATATTTCACATGCTATAGATATGTACACACACACACACACACACACACACTTATATAATTTTAGGTTTGCAAAATGCTTTTTTATCCCTTCCTACATGGTATTTTTTCTTACCTAAAAAGAAACAATTTTTTTTTGCTGGATGGGGCATCATACATACATCATATTTCAGATATTAAAATAGGCCACAGGGAGTCCCTTTTCAAGAAGAATTCCGTAACTCTTTTTAGAAGACATTTACATGGATTCAGAACTGATGAACAAGTCTCTAGGTGTAGGCTTGCAGTAAGACCCTTGAATTAGGAGTTTGTGAGTAGAGATCATCCCAAGTAAAAAGAAGAGCTTGAGGAAATAAACAAAGGATGAAAAACACCATAGACTTTCCTATAAAGATGCAATGAAAGACTAGCTGGAGAATCAATGTGGATGTCTGCAATGCTTTGGATTTCCAGAGACAGAGTTTTTGAAGTCAAGATGAAATGTAGTGTCCTAATCCTATGACTCATGAGATGAAGGAAAATATTGCTAGCTTTGCATACATGATAATTTTTTTAATATTTATTTTTTAGTTGTAATTGGACACAATAGATATCCAATTTCTTTTTTTGTCATTCTTGACTTTCCTACTTCATTTCAGTCAATCAAATCCTCTTGCTATTGCTGTTCAAAAACAACAGGTGGTAAGAATGAAAAGAAAATAAGGCTGGCTATCTTGAAAAATTATTGTGGCAATACTAAATAAAGAATTTTAAAGTTTATTATATATATATATATATATAATAAATATATGC